TGCATAGGTACACGCCCAAGTCATTCCGTGAATGCTTTGTTGACTGAAGACAGCAGATAGTAGAAGTTGGTGGAGCGTCTCGGGCGATGATAACGGTTCGACTTCACACTTCAAGACAAGACACTGCATGTACTGGGATTGGAGGATGATGTTTATTGGCGTGAGGGGTCACTCAAAGCCATTTTGGCACACCACTGTATCTGCACCATGACATCGCCGGTTTCCATGCGTAAGAAAGTGCAGAAGGAGAATAATCGAGAAGTCCGAGAAACCACGCCGTTGACCATCCGTATCCCATTTTGCCAGCCAATCCACCCGGAGCCACCTGTCCACGTCTAGATGTAGGTCTCGTAAGGTACGGGTGTGATGTTCTCCGGCTTCTGCTCCTTGAGGCTGACAATGTGCTCGGCGCGGGGCTGTGCGGGCTGGCGCTTCATCTGTTGGGGCTCGCCAGTCTCCTTGGCCTTTTGTTGCTTGGCGAAGTTGAGCTTGACGCGCTTGAGGAAGTCCTCTCGTGAGCGGGAGTGGCGGACGTGCTCGATGCGGACGTTGATGCGCTTCTCCATGTATCGGTTGCCGACTTGCTTCTGGAGGATGACACCGACGGCGGACTTGGTGACGTTGTAGACGATACCGGTCTTGCCGTGGTAGACCTTGTAGGGCATACCCTTCTGGACGGCACCTGTTTTGCGTAAGTCCTCCGCTTCATCCGCTGTCGCTGTGGATCTGGGGTTTCGTACCGTTGGCTACGACATCGACGATATCACCGACCTTGTACTGCTTGAGGTAGGTCGAGAGCGGGATCATTCCCTTTTTCTTGAAGTCCCTAGAGAAACTGTCGCAGCGTCAGCAATCGTCGCATGAATAGAGTGCGCCTTTGACATAGAGTGCGCCTTCGACTCAGACTGCGGTCTGGTCTCGTCGCATGGGGAGTCGCAAGGGGAGTCGCAATCATTCCAACTTACGCATAGCGCGTACCCGCGCGGAGACCGGCTGCGTGACCCATTGTGTGTTTGAAGTTGGGCTGGTGGTTAGTAGCTGAGCTGAGCTGTTGTTATGTTCGACTCTTGGATTTTGCCAGCCGGCGCCCGGTGGTGGGGGCACGGACCACCCGCGTGGTCAATGCGTCGCTAAGCGAGGTGTGCGCTTTGGCAATATTCTTCTTTCTCGTTATCGCAGACTCAACCATCGACAACCACAATGGCGCCTCCCCGATCCTACTCCAAGACGTACAGCGTCCCCCGTCGTCCTTTCGAGTCCGCTCGTCTGTATGTGCAACCCCATGGCCACTGAGCGAGAGCGTGCTCCGCTTATGTCTGGGACACAAGTTAATGTTGGGTTAGGGATACTGAGCTCAAGCTCGTCGGCGAGTATGGTCTCCGCAACAAGCGCGAGGTCTGGCGCGTCCAGTTGACTCTGTCCAAGATCCGTCGTGCCGCTCGGTGAGTGCTCATTGTTCTCGTCTGCACAATTGATGCGCAGGCCGCGACGTACGAATTCGCTAACATTTCGCAGTTCGCTTCTTACTCTTGACGAGAAGGACCCCAAGCGTCTCTTCGAGGGTAACGCTCTCATCCGCCGTCTCGTGCGTGTCGGTGTCCTTGACGAGTCCCGCATGAAGCTCGATTACGTCTTGGCCCTCAAGATTGAGGACTTCTTGGAGCGCCGTCTCCAGACCTGCGTCTACAAGCTCGGTCTCGCCAAGTCCATCCACCACGCTCGTGTCCTGATCCGCCAGCGCCACATCCGGTATGCATCCGCCCGCAATCGCTCAAGAAGCGCGCGACTAACAGTATCACAGTGTCGGCAAGCAGATCGTCAACGTCCCCTCCTTCATGGTCCGCCTCGACTCCCAGAAGCACATCGACTTCGCTCTGACCTCGCCATTCGGTGGCGGCCGCCCTGGCCGTGTCAGGAGGAAGAAGGCCAAGGCCGCCGAGAAGGGTGGTGACGAGGACGCCGGCGAGGAGGACGAGGAGTAGACTTGACGCCAAAAGGAATGATTCATGGACGACAGGCGTTAGGCACGATGGGATGAATCTCTTTGATAGTCATCCTGTCCTGGAAAGCACTATATCCCTTGTGGGTCTCGGCTGGTGGATGATCTACATATACTTCACGTAGACACTGCCCAAAAATTTTCAACTGCCATCGTCTGTCTTAGTTCACTTACAATGCCCGTGGGAATGTAAATGATGCTTGTCCACCTACGGTTTGTAGGATCTCACAACACCCTGCAGCCTACATTGATGCTACGTCTTATCATTTACTCGTTGTTGTCCTAGTGTAGGCTGCAGGCCTACTCAGTTCTTTCTTGTATGATGTGCCAGTCTCACCTCATTCATGGAAAATTCCGAACACTGTGGAGCCTACATCAAGACAAAAACATGCAGAGTAGGTGACCTAACGTTAATGTAGGCTCCCGACCTATTCAGCATTTTCTTGTACTAGGTGGTCTGGCTGACGATCTTGCAACGATGTCTGCCCTGTGGCTGAGTCGTTAACAAACCCCAAGCTATCTGCATAACGTTTGACCAGCTCGCTGCATTTTGCATCAAACTATTGATGAGCCTAATACCTCCCGTATCTTGACCCTACCACATGCACACATCACAACTCAAGCAATCGACAGGTGTCAATACGTTCTCACAACACCGGCTTTCGACCACTATGTCTCGATGTGCTCTTCCTTATTGAATAATGCTAGTACTCAGAGTCATCGGTATACAACCGCGTCTGCGGGCTAGGTCTCTTTCCCTCCAGCGACAGCCCAGCCGCAACCCTCTCCTCGCCCACCTTGGCCCTCGCCTCCTGCATAATCCACAGTCCAGAACTAGTTCCCAGCCGTGTCGCGCCAGCCTCCAGCATCTTGACTGCCGTGTCCAAGTCCCTGACCCCACCACTCGCCTTGACCTCCATCTTCTTCTTGCCTATTTTGGCCGATGCGAGGTACTCCGCCGCGGCCACCATGAGCTGCACATTGGGCAGGTTAGCGCCCGGTCCGTTGAAGCCAGTGGATGTCTTGATGAAGTCGAAGCTAGCAGCAGCGGCAAGATGAGATGCAGCAAGGATTTGCGCGGAGTTCAATTGCGAAGTTTCGAGGATAAGTTTGAGTGTTGTGGGGGCAGGGCAGAGGCTTCGTATGCTAGCCAGTTCTCTGTAGATTGCGCTGTAGTCTGGGATATCGTCCGTGTCTTCCTCGCTAAAGTCGCTGGCGTTGCTGCTTCCAGCATTCTTCGCCGTGTTGGCAGCGGTGATGCTGTCGATTGCTGAGTCACGAGCACGCTCTAACGGTGGAGAAGCCGGTCGGTTGTGCTTGGTGAGGAGGGAGTAGTTGAGGACGACATCAAGTTCCCTCGCGCCTGCTGCTACGGCGGCACGTGCTTCTCGCAGCTTGTAGTACGTGTCTTGGGTTCCTTCGTGGAAGCCTACAACGCAGGCTACAAGCACGTCGGTGCCTTTGAGGTTGGAGACACAGCGTTGGACATAGTTCAGGCGAACACAGACAGACTGAGAATCTTGTCAGCTTGGGTTTTTCTCGGGAGCGGTGAGATGTAGCACGTGTCCCAGCTCCAAACTCTAAGGGTGCGACTGTGCCTCATCCCGAAGAAACTCCACCACAACTGCAGAAGCACATACCTTGAAGTTCTCCGTCCTGGCCTCAGCGCAAAGCCCATCGATCGTCTTTGTCGTCGCGTCCAACTTGAGTACCGTGTGATCCACCGTCTTAGCCAACTCCTTCAGCGCCTCATCTCCATTCCTCATCCGCGGGCCCTCGTAAACCTTCCTCGCCCTCTCTCCACTTTCCACCTCTTTCAATACATTCTTAATCGTCTGATCAATTTGCGTTTTCCATTCCTGGTTCGTAAAACGATCCGTCATTATCTCGATGGGGTTCGATTTGTCGTCGCAAAGATCCGGGTTGGCGGCGAGGAAACCGCGGATCAAAACTTCGGATTCCGTCAGAGGGATGGGGTGGGGGTTAGTTGGAGCTCCCGCGCCTGCTGTGGATGAGGTGGACATTTTGAACGACGCGCTTGCAAATGTTTGTTTATTGATCTTGTGATTGTCCACTGATCTATTTTAGTGGCTGTCGAACCGTGAGCCGCGGATGCGCGAGCGAACGAGAGGGCGAGTGGAAGTATTGACGATGACGTGGGGTGGCTTGTTCTCGACTCGTGTCCAATCGTTAATTGAAATAAGCACTTTAGGCGAACGGTTATGCAGCGGCGTTGCCTCCTGGTCTTTAAGATAGAGGTGGCTGTATCGACGCCTATTATGTAGGAATCTTGAAGTTGGCGGAGGTCGGCGTTTTGCTCGTCATGTGGCTGCTTGTAGGGAAGGTGCTATGAACTGGGTAGGGGTCTCGGCCATGCTTCCCCACTTGGAGAGCAGAATCATTCTGCCAAGAATGGTGTCCTTCTTTTCTAGGTAAGAAGCACATCTCTTTGCGATACTAGTAAGTTGTGACCGGTTCCATTCCACGCGGGGTGGTACAGTACCCGTATACAACCTGGTGTCAAGTGTAGACGGAACTTGATCACGTCAGTGTACGATACATAGACATAGAACCTGCGTCTGCATGTTGTTCACAAGATAATGTTGGATCACTTCTTTGTATGCGAAACGAGTGTGAGGAATTGACGCTTGATTTACAAAGGACCGCTAGCATGCGTAGGTATCCTCGATTGCAAGCCGGTCCTCACCTCGGACGACTGATCCAAAGGCTCTGAAATGCTATCTCTCCTCCCACATGCATGTACATGAAAGCTGAAAGACCATGCCGAACAAAAGGAAATAGATTCGAGGAAAAGGGTGGTCCATCAGCGCTGAGATATCCGGAACTCCCGTTTTTGTGACTTTTGCATTGACTCGAGTCGAAAGATCCCTCTTCTATCCTGCGGTCGAGTCGATCGGCGCCAATGAGATCTACACCCCTAAGCCATGATAGTCGTCATCGTAACCCATCAATCCCCGCTGTCATCACATCGACGAATCGTCTACTTCCTTCGGAAAGAGCAGCCCTCGGTCAACCGCGCCTTGCCACCAGTGGGCTGGCACCTGTGAATGCGTTAGCCCATGCCCTGTATCCATATCCATTTGTTCCAAACTTACAGGACCTGCGAGCAGCCCTGGCAGACGACGACTGTGTTGGCGTGCGAGAAGACGGTGGTGATGGTGAAGCATCCGGGGCACTTGACGTCCATGAAGAAGGATCGGGGAGCGGGCACGAGGGTCTTGAGCTTGTGCTTGCGGGCCTCACTACACGCTTGTTAGTCGGAGGTCGGGGGCGAAAGGGCGGGAATGTATGCGTACGCGGCCGGGGAGGGGTTGAGAAGGTCAACTGCGAGAACCTGGGATACTGTTAGTCCAAAGTCCTCATTGAGATAAATTTTGCGCAGGGCGAGGCGGCGAGAGGTTGCGAATTGAAGATGCTGTGGCAAACTCCGGGCGTCTCGTGTGCCTACTCAGAATCCTCTCGCGCGACCGTCCAGACCCTCGGGAACTCGAACTCACCATTGTGACGATTTATGGAGAGTCTTTTGGTTTGGTTGTTTGTCGTTGATGGCTTGTCGATGATTCGGGCGCGAAAGTCACGTAGTAGAAGGGGGGGTTGCTCGTTGACAAAATCGACCATTGTGCACCAAGCGAGCTGCGCTAGTGGATCTTGGCGGCCCGTGCACACTCCAGGGGACTTCCACAGGATCTCTTCCCCGGATCAACATAGTTTCACAATGCTTTGCAACATTTTAGTCTTTTTTCTGACGCTGTTGTTCTTTGACTGCAATACGGAACGTTTGTGTTGTTGTGCTGCGTGTTGTCCAGTCTATGACGAAAGCTCGCTCCAGAGCGGCAAGATGCCCACGTGAACTAAACATGAGCAGACCGCCACTAGGGGTGGCTACATTTCGTGATGCTTCGTACAAAGAGTATATAAGAGTAGGTGTGTACATTGCCATCGAGGCTATCTACTTGTTAAGATCAATACTATGTATGCTCCAAAATGCGACACATACTCAAGCCACCCGTGTACTCTTGGCCGCTCGTCCTTGAGTATAGTGAAGCAGCTAATTGCTGACAAGCCCTTTGTTCGGGACCTTTTCAGTTTACAACGTTGAAATGGAGTGAACAATTGCAACTGGACTGCATGCAGCTACACCACACTCATTGCTTCACCTCTGATTGCACAGCAAAGTGCATCTCCAAAACTAGAAGTAAACGAACATGTCCCAATCGGACCGATTCACAGGTATGATGCATCCAAGCACACGACACGATTGAGCTTCTCAAGGCAAAAGTTCGGGAGAGCTCTGACTGGTCAGAAGTCGTGCCGCGGAATCTGTGGAGCACTCTGCCTTTGACCGGGCATGTGAGAACAGCAATCACAGACTCTCTGTGTGGTCATTTGGTCTAGCTGAACTCGACTGAGCGCTAAAGTGCGAGGTATTGCCCCATTGCATCTGGGGTGACTTCCCTTTTACCCCACTTAGCGTCATTTCCAAGCTCGTCGTATTGACATCGTATAGACTGCGACTGCATATAAGTACGAGGAGGAAACAACAAAGAGTGAAAGAATAAACAATTCATCCAATTCACCGGCGATTTGTATCTCAACATGGCGGCGCAGCAGAAGAGCACGCAAGAGATAGAGAAGGCGAAGAAGCTCAACCATGTACCCTGGGACGAGGAGTACGAGAAGATGATTTCGGGTATGCTGTATGTATACACATTCTACTGTCCGCGATGAGTTAAAACCACCTCACAGCCTTCTCTTCAAGGAATAAACATGCACACCATTGAAGGGGAAACCCGATACCATGAAGCCTACATCAACACTAGATCTTCCTCTCTACCTAGCATTATCTTGATATAGACTGCAGGCATATGTTTCCATAGCACAAAATACTTACAAACCCCCAGCTACAACGCCTTCACCCCGTCCCTAAACGCCGCCCGCTTCAAAGCCCGCGCCTTCGCCCACAGATACAACACATGGTTCCCCGACCCCGCCACAACCGACGAAAGCAAGGGTTTTGACATTCTCGCCGCAGAGCGCCTGAAGATGCTCAAACAGATCATCGGCCATGTGGCTGACGATGAGATCTTCATTGAGCCCCCTTTCAACATCGACTACGGCTGCAACATTTCCCTAGGCAAACGTTTCTACGCAAACTTCAACCTGACTATTCTGGATTGCTCGCTCGTTACCATAGGGAACCGGTGCATGTTCGGCCCTAATGTGTCGATTTTTGCCGCGACGCATGAGATCGAGGTGCAGTCGCGAAAGGACAATATCGAGTATGGAAAGCCAGTTGTGGTTGGTGATGACTGCTGGATTGGGGGTAATGTGGTTATTCTACCTGGAGTTACGATTGGCAGGGGAGTTACTGTAGGGGCTATGAGCGTGGTGACAAAGGATGTACCGGATTTTTGTGTCGTCATGGGACAGCCGGCGAAGGTAGTTAAGAAGGTGGCAGAAATTCCGGCGGAGGAGGGCGACGTTATGGCTTCTTAGAAGCTTAGGATTCGACGAAGGGAATACGTCTTTCAACGGGCACAGCATCACTTAGATTCCAAGACAGCATGGTGTAAAGAGCGTGAGCTGTTGATTATGTTCTATCCAAAGTGACATCCAACTCGCCCTGAAAATTCAGTCAACTCAGCTCATCTATTCAAGAAGCTCTCGCTACCGGGAGCGTGAACGCATGTAGACCCCGCCAAACCAAAGAAAGAAGTGAAGAAAGTCAGCGCCGAAGCTGGACTGGAGCAAACATGTACAATAAAAGTATAAAAGCGTTGAAGCGTATAAAAGGGATCGAGGGGAAGGTCTATGCAGGGAGCACTACTCGCCAATGCGCACTCCCGTCCTGAGTATGCGTCCTATCCAAATGGACTTGGACCAGCACCAAACAGTTTGCCACCTTTTCCTGAGAAGCATAGAACTAGCAATGGATGAAGATACGAAGGATGTTGACGATGCGAATATGAAGGCGGTGGTACGATCACGAGAAGTGTGGGATGGTGCGCGTCTATCCAGAGATGAAGTAGCGTTCGATTTGACCGAGTAGTTTGTGGTGGAATGCGGTCGGAATCAATGGCGGGAGTGTTGTATTGGCCTAGAGGATTGTGCAACCGCCGCTCTTGTCTTTGCTGGTCTTGACTTGCAGAGCGACGCGGGCGGCTTCAGTAAACGCTTCGTTCACACCTCTATTCTTCATAGCGGAACATTCTACACCCGTTAGATATCTGCCATGGTTCCGAGACGTGGCTTGGCTTACCCAGGTACCGCAGTGCCTTGATCTTCTCCGCTACGCGCAGACCCTCGTTGTAGTCGATGCATGGTTTCTCAGGTTGCTGGTCGTCGGCGTCGTCGTCCTCCTTCTTCCGCAGGTCACACTTGAGTGCCACTAGAACGAGCTTAACGCCGGGGCAGTTCTCTGCTATTTCGCCGACCCATTTCGTTTCCACGTTCTCGAGCGAGTCCGGTGAGTCGACCTGTGCCGTGTGAGTTGCGAGTTGAACAGCATAATGTCGGATGACCGTACCGAAAAGCAGAGCATGATCGCGTGCGTGTCATCGTAGCTCAATGATCGTAGCCTATCAAATTCTTCTTGCCCGGCGGTGTCCCATAAGCTGAGCTCAACGTGTGTGTTGTCGATGTAGATGTCTGTCGCACCGTGTCAATCGTGTTTGTAGAACTTGCAGATAGGCGCACAAACCGTGTACATAGTTCTCTGTAGTAATTGTTAGCGACACGAATAGATAGTGTGAGGCGCGCCCTTACCGAATACTGTGGGCTCGCTGAGAGGGCTTCATTAGCCTCATTCGTATCTCAATACCAGGTACAATACTCACTATACTGTTGGAAAGTAGCTACCACAAAGTCAGCAAGCTGCGGAGATGGCAGAATAGCGATGTTACATACCCTCTTGTGAAGACATTCAGTAATGAGGTCTTGCCGCATGCACCGTCACCGCTGGAATTACGTTAGCTTGTTCTGTCGCATCACGCCTCGGTCGCCCAAACAAAGAGGCATCCCCGCATATAGCAGACGTACAGAAGCACCAGCTTGCGCTGCACAGACTTTGTTCCACCGCACATGGGCATCGTGAAGGTCGGAAGGAGAGTCGGCGATTGGGTCGTGTCGTCGGGTCAGGGACGAGAGGCGCGCGCGCGTTGGTGCAACAAAGGACGACGGTCGCGGTCGTGGCAGCGGATGTGGTGAGGACGAGAGCGAGAGTCGCACCGGAGACTGGTAACGGATGATGATAAGGATGTGTGAGGTAAGAGGGAAGCCGGGGGGGATCCAGATGCTGGGCTGGAGATGCAAGCGATGGATGGATGGAGTTGAAGATCCACACGTCGCTAAGACTAAGCCCGAAAGGTCGATTGGCACTGCTCACCTCCGCGACCACTCCACGGCTTCGACGCTATCCATTTAGCAAGCACCACGGACGCGGGGCGATGTGTTTGCCGGCTGAGCCAAAGAATTATTCGCCCAAAGTCATCTTAGAGAGCTGTCAAACTTGTTAGTGTTCCTGGGGAAACGGCCGCGAGCAAGTGCCAGCGACAGAACCTCGGTGCACAGGCAGCAAGGAAGATTTGATCGATGAGACTAAGACGACGGCCAGGACCGTGAACCGAGTTAAGGGATCTGCTAGTGACGGCGAGTGGTTGAGAAGAGATCTGGGATTCTGGGATAAGGATGCCCGGGGTCTGAGCCTTCTCCACAGCTGGAAGCCGGACCGAAAAAAGAAGGTCGCGAACTTAGCATATGCTGTCTAATGCATCAGTCGCAAGCCTACTGCACGCCACTATGCTCGAATATTGCACAGCCTCGTCCAGACTCTGTGCGACTTTGAGGCTTCATAAATGTCCCTGTTCACAACCGGAGATTTACTCAAATGTCGGAGTGTTAGATTCATCATTGCGTCAGTGCGCCGGGAGATGAGATGGAGGAGCCGGAAAATGGCTTGGAGCCGATTGCTGTAGGAACCAAATCGATCGTAAGTACAGATCGTAATGACATAGTTGTGCAATGTTGGTAGGAGATTCGAACGCGCAGCCTCAAGACCGCCTGATGCATTTCTTCAGAGAGAATGGAGTGAATGTTGCGATGCATGGCAAGGATACTGCAGCTGGCTGGGTCTGGGAGCTTAGCCCCGCGAAAGTGGGGCTCTTCCGCAGGCACCTACCGCCGCCTCACGTAGGCAAACAAGTCGCGAGAGCTCCAGACAACTCCACACCGCAAACACCTCTATCCACCGAATTAATAGCACAACGCACGCGTCTCACTCCAACTTGAGAACACGACTGTGGTCCAACTAAACCATCACCGACGCCACAACCATGTCTGACGATGACGACTTCATGCAAGACTCCGGCGAGGAGGAGTAAGTCGCCATGACATCCAGGCAATATCCTTTCTGACAAGCTGTAGGTACGACTTCGAGTACGAGGACGACGATGACGAGCAGAGCGGCGACGTCGACATCGAGAACAAATACTACAATGCGAAGCAGCTAAAGGCCGACGACCCCGAGGCAGCCATAGACGAATTCCTGGGGATGCCCGCGCTAGAGGAAGAGAAGTCGGACTGGTAGGAAATATGCAGATTTGGGGGAATGGATGTATGCTGACGAACGTATAGGGGCTTCAAAGGGCTGAAGCAGGCAATCAAGCTCGAGTTCAAGCTTGCCCGCTACGACAAGGTAGATACTGCCATCCCGAGCAAGACCTCTAGCTGACACGTACAGGCTGTCGAACACTACAAGGAGCTTCTTACATACGTCAAGTCGGCCGTCACGCGTAATTACTCGGAGAAGTCCATCAACAACATGCTCGACTTTATAGAAAAGGCCGCAGAAGACACCGACGCATATCGCTGCATGGAGAACTTTTACGCCCTGACCCTCGACATCTTCCAGAGCACCAACAACGAGCGGCTCTGGCTAAAGACAAACATCAAGCTGGCGAGGCTATGGTTGGATAGGAAAGACTACCGTCAGCTTACGGAGAAGCTCCGAGAGTTACACAAGGCCTGTCAGAGGGAGGATGGAACAGATGACCCGAGCAAAGGCACATACTCATTGGAAGTCTACTCGTTGGAAATTCTCATGTATGCCGAGACCAGGAACAACAAGCGGCTAAAGGTAAGGCTCATCTGCATTGAGATTTACCTGCATTATCTCTAACATTAAGACAGGCACTATACCAGCGAGCGCTCAAGGTCAAGTCTGCAGTTCCGCATCCCAAGATTATGGGCATCATCCGTGAATGTGGTGGCAAGATGCACATGAGCGAAGGCAAGTAACCCGTGCCCTAGATACCGGTTCGGTACTAACGGATTGCAGAGAACTGGAAAGGCGCGCAGAGTGACTTCTTTGAGAGTTTCAAAAACTACGATGAGGCTGGATCACTCCAACGAATACAGGTCTTGAAGTACCTGGTTCTCGCGACCATGCTATCGGGTTCAGACATCAATCCGTTTGATTCGCAGGAGACCAAGCCCTACCAGAATGACCCGCGCATCTCCACTATGACGGATCTAGTCAACGCCTATCAGCTAGAAGACATTCACGGCTATGAGAAGATCCTGCAGAACAACCAGGATTTGCTGCAAGATCCGTTCATCGCCGAGAACATTGACGAAGTTACGCGTAATGTGCGCACCAAGGCGGTCGTCAAGCTTGTCGCACCCTACACCCGCTTCACACTAGCCTTTATCTCGAAGCAGCTCAAGATCTCACTTGCCGAAGTGCAGGAAATCGTAGGCTTCTTGATTGTTGACAAGCGGTTGCGCGGCAAGATCAACCAACAGAACGGAACGGTGGAGATTGAAAGTAGCACAGACATGGACAGGGTGCAAGCGATGAAGGAGTGGAGCAGCGCCATCGGATCCCTATGGCAGACGGTGCTGAACGAGGGCGAAGGTTTCAAGTCGGACGAGAGCGGTTCGCAGTTCACGCCTGGTGGTGGCGGGCCCCAAGGCATGAGCGGCTGGAACTCAAGCTCGATGGGGGGCAAGTCTGGTCGAGGCAAAGGCAAGGGTCCAGGACGCCTCCCGGGGGTAGTGAGCAAAGGATGACTTGCAGCATCGGTCGCGCGCGGTCCACAAGACGACCTGTAACTGGGTTTCCGGGCAGGGCACGGAGAGTGGGAGTTGCACAGTACCGTCACCGAGGCGTTTCTGACCTGAAATAATTGAGACATGCGGTCAGGTTGCTCAAGAGGGAGACGTGGGTTGGTTCGTCGGGTAGCACCGGGCAAGAGTTCCCGTGCACATGAGCGGTACGCGACTCAACATAGTAGGCGGGCAACGGACATGTTCGGTCACGCAATCGAGTGCAATTACCCACAGGTCAGCAGCGGTGCGAAGTCGTCTGTATGTAACATGGCCTCGTTTTCTCACGGCCACCAGCCAAGGTCCCGATCGCGCGGTCATGGCGGTAGCCTGCCGCCAACTAACGACTCGCCATCTCGATGCCTATGAGCCGTGAATCGTCTATCGATGTGACGCATGGTGATCTGAAGCTTCACTGCACTCGTACACATACGCATCACAGGCGGGTTTCCCAGCCATGGCACTGCGCGCCGGGGAAGCGGGCACAGACGAGGAGGGGGTTGCAAGCGAGCCTCTCAGCTAATGGGAGCGCCCACGCCGTGTCTGCCCTGACTCGCACGCGGCGTGGGATCGGTAACTTGACAAGAGTTTATCTCGGGTGTGCGGGCACTTGTTTTTTCTGTCGCAGAAGCGCCACCAGCCACGGAGCGGCAGAGCGAATCATGCCATGCAGGCGGCCACTGCAACAATACGCCAGAGGGTCGTCTTGGCATGTTGCTCGACGCCATGGGTGCCTCGATGCTGCTGTGTTGAGTGCACTCGACGACGTGATACAGCCTCTGCTCGTCGACGCATGCAACGCCAGCCCTGGGCTTGCAATTGTTCCGGTTGGCGGCGCTGCTCGAGGGCTTGCTACGCCTGGCGAGAGGTCCCATGTCGTCATGCCCGCTGTCTCGTGACTCTGATTCTTCCGCGGCTCTTTGCTCGGCGATTCCATGTTTGATGTGACGGAGCATCAAGAGTGCACTTCAATCTCCAGATGCTAACCCATGAAGACTAGTGGGAGCGGAAATCGATATCACACCCCGGTGTTGGTGGGCAAGCCTAGCCGGGTCGTCTTGGAGCATGTAGCAGGCCTCTGTCGAGCATCTCATAGTACTTGCTTTTGCGCGATGCTCCCTGGCGCTGATTATGTGGAGTGGCATTCCTCTTGTACACCCTCGCGCCCTGCCATGTCTCCCCTCGCAGGTATCCGGTGCAACTGAAATTGGCCGTTTCAGAGCGGCTGGACCAGAGTGTTGCAGACTGTTTTGGTGCCTGGCAGCTTCAATTGCACTTGCACGCGCGAAGATCCCCTCCTGTCTCTCCCATATATTGGCGTGTGCCCCTGGACGCCCGTGAGTATCACAGCAACGACCACAGCCTCCAGCCTTCCGCCGCCGGCCTCTGCACCTACTAAAGACGCTGCTGCCCTCGCCAGCAGCTCGCCGGCGAATTGTTGCTGAGATCGTTTGCGCATTGCCGGATCTGTCGTGGAATCCTTCCATCCAATTACTAGCCACTGAGGCCAGTCACGCCCACGGCCATCAGGGAGCCAACGGAGCGCACACAGCGGGGAACGGACGGTGCCGGCAATCTACACACAATCGCACACACACGCCAAAACACGCATAATAGCAGGACGAGATGAGCAGACAGTCGGTGTTGACGGGCTACCACCCTCACAGCCAGCATCACCCGCATGCACACCTACACCAGGGCCACTATGGAGTTCCGGCTCAGAACCACTACCAAGGCGGCCTAGCGTTTGCTATCCGCGCGCCGGTCCTTGCTCCCGGGAGCTATAATCATCACACTGGCCACCATCACCCAGGCCACCAGCATCGCAACCCCCACCTCAACATGGCCGCGTATCCCTCCGACGACGACTATGCCCACCTGCAGAAGCTGTCGAGCGAGTACGAGCCCGAAGCCACTGTGAGTTGAACTGCGACAATATTCGCCCAAGCGCGCTGACCGCCCAAGGGCCCACTGGTGGGCGAACGCCAAAGCAGCGCTGCCATCACGACGCAATATGCCACCGCAGATCCCGTCTTCCAGGTCAAGACCGCTGCGTTGCCCGCCAAATATGCCTACTTCCGCACCTGCCGTGGCGATGGCCACTGTGGATGGCGGGGTGAGTGCCCATCGCTTTCCTCGTGCTGCTTGCCCGTGCTAATAAGAACAGCAATCGCCTTCACCTACTTTGAGGCCTTGCTGCATGTGGGCGACGTGAGCAAACTGGATCATGAAAAAGGCCGCCTCAACTCGCTGGGCAACTTGCTCTCAAATATCGGCTACTCGCGCGATATCTGGATTGACTTTGCCGAAGAGGCGTTCGAGCTCATGACCAGGCTTGCCGAATCGCTGCGCGCCATGAATGGCCAAGCCGATAGCATTCTCCTGCGTACTTTCAACGACCCGGGCAAGTCTATGGCAATCATCACCTACGTCAAGGTTTGCATTCCACATCTTTCATTATTCGAATTGCTAACTCCCCCTCCAGCTCCTAGCCAGTGCATGGGTGCAGACGCACGCAGATGATTTTATGCACTTTGTAGACAACGGCGACGTCAAAACATACTGCTCCAACTTCATCGAACCCACTCAGTGTGAAGCCGACAACGTTGGCATTGCCGCCCTTGCCGAAGCGCTGATCAAGCCTGCTGGGTTTGGTCTCGAAGTATGGTATCTGGACCGCTCACCAGGCGAAGAGATCAACCGCAGCTTCTACTCAGAACCAACAGACGCCCATCATCGCCCCATCCCCGGTGCGCCCATGTTACGACTGCTTTACAGGCCGTAAGTACACACCGCGCATGGCACTATCTATCGCCTACTAATTCTCCCCAGTGGCCACTACGACATCCTATACAAGGCTGGAGACATACCACAAGTCCAGCACCAGCCTGTTCCCCAACAGCAACCACTTCATGTTGCCCTAGCCAACTACACTGACGAATTCATACCGACCGCTACCAACGTCGGCGACGTCATGAACATGATCCCGGGAATGTACCCCTCTGGTGTCGGTCTAGGCCAGCGATGGCCTTCACTTTCGTACGACTTCAGCCCCAGTCCCACTTCTCATCCTCAGGTTACGCCTGTCCAGCCATACGCCCCGACACCGACGCCTGTAACGCCGGTTAGCACTTCCCACTTGGACTTTGTTACACCACTCCATTCTAGCAACGCAAGCCAGTACAACCCGCCGAGTCATCACAGCATACATCTCGACCAACCTCCTGTGACACTCCCCATACACCCCCCACCGCCACCCGTGAGCATCGACCGAGCAGCTCCCATGGGTGTTGAGAGAGGCGGTCCTTTCCGGCCTTCAATGTACGAGTTAGAACCAGGTTTTGGCTCTTCGATGCAAGTCCAGCCGTTTCAAACGTCAATCTTTCGCAAGTGAGTATCGGCCCGATAATGCCTGTTGACCTAAACTAACATATACGAGTTCTCACTTCAACACGGCGCATTTCATGAATCCCGACTTCGAACCCGAGCAATGGTGTCCGGACGGCGAGTACTCCATAGGGAACAAAGGCCGCCACAAGTCACACTCATCTTGAACACTGTTCTATGCCCGAACTCGACCCCGCGCTTCACTGGTGGCCCTTTCCCGATATCTTAGCGACTACTAGCGTGGCGTTTATCGAGCTTGCTCTACTTTCTCGGCATCCTGCATCATACTTCCACGGCCTCAGCACACTTACGACGAATGACGACCGATACCATATTTAACCTCTTTCGGAATATCGCTCAACACCTCTACACATGCAAAAGCGACGGTACTCACAGTGCCTAAGTTCGGGCTATTTGGCCACCCGCAGATGCTTCCAATCTAGCATCCATCCACGACCTATTTCCATCAAGCGAGGGCGGAGTACTGTACCTTCTTTCTTCCTTACAAGCCAAACCCGCAAGGATCTACGACCGTGACGAATACCAAAGACTATCTGCCTCAGGGTGATCGACTTTAGAGTTGAACATCTTTATTGGTTTCTGTCTGTTCCATTCTCCCATGGCATTATTAGCGATCACTCATCACCTTCGACATATTTTAACCATACACCTTCTCTCAGTTTAATACAAACACTATTCGGTATGCACGGTCTTTCCATGACTATGATTGCCGCGCCCCACTACGCTGGAAAACCCATGATTGCGGCACAGAACCTGTCTGCGTCTGCTCTTCAATCTCTTGGCCGAACGAACTGTTGCGAGCCCCCACGAATACCTTCGTTGAGAATCCTACATCTTCCAGATGTACCTCGGCCTGCGTCCGATCAGGACATGGCATGCCCAGGCTGCGAGGATCCATGTCCCAGAAGCTACACACAGTAGCCATGACCGAGGACAAGGTATCTCTATCACTTTGCAGGCGGCCTTGTCGCCGATGGCATTAGAATGGACAAGGAGGACCGTTAAAAACAAACCAATATAAACCCAGGTATCCCACTTACTGAAGATGACGACGTGATGTATATGTGACTCCACTATGACATGGACCCTGAACAAGGAAACCCACCCTGCGTGCCGCAGAAGCAATTGCAGAGCAGGAGAAAGATCCGAGCCTATGCAACCTCATCACACTATAGTGTATCCCGCCAGTCTGGCTCTTTGCAACCTCGACCCAGTCGTCGGCGAAGAATCTCAACCCCATTCCCATTCCTCATTCCCAAGCCAATATACCGAATCATTATTCCCAACAAGATCCAGCCCCCATGTTACATATCTCACACCTCGGCACGCATAAGATCGGCGGTTAAAATAATAATCTCCACTCCCTTTTCTCCTCCCCCATTCATCGGACGATGACGCCCTGCCCTGTCACTCTGCAATACTCTGATCCTTTGCATGTTATAAACGGTCTAAACGCCCGTCTCCGTCCGCCCATCGCAGCAAGATCGAACCATTATGCATGTGCTCGCAGGGATTGCGCAACGCGCGTTGCCCCATACGCGACTAGCCTGGTATAA